TGTGCTGCCCCCTGGTGTTTTTAGAATGAAAAAAGCAAGGAACTCTCTGAAGAGCTCAGCCGGGTATGAGATGTTCCACCAATGCTTCGGTCGCCTAGGCAAAACTCAGAAAATTGGACAATGCCTACTGTAATGTAGAAGGCAAGCCTTGGGAGATGGATGAGGCACTGCAACCCCTGGAAGCTGTGCTGCGGAGTAATGCAGGGCGCCATCTTTGTCCCCAGTGCTGTTTAAGACCAGCATGAAGCTGTTGGGTGAGTCATTAGAAGATCTTGGGAGAAACGCCATTAGTAGTACCCTGATGATACCCAGCTTTACTTCTGAATCAGGAGAAGGCACAGGAGCCCTGGACTGGTTCCTGGGCTTTTGGCAAGCCAATGAGCCAATTCCAAATCCTAGCAAGATGGAGGTGCTGTAGGTTCCTGAGTCTAGATAATTGGTCAATTGCCCACTCTGGATATGGTCGTGCTCCCCACTGGAAGAGCTGCTTTATATCTATGGGTGCTCCTGGAGCCATTGCCCAGGTGATCTCAGTGGTTTGGAGTGTCTTCTACCAGCTTGGGCTGTTATGACAGCTGCAGCTATTTCTGGAGCAGGATAGCCAGAACCCTGTTATTCATGTGCTAAGTCTACAGAAAAAACCAAACCTTCACCCATGCTAGAAATTTAAACATGTCACTTTCCTTATCTGCTTTCTAAAGTTGTGCAACCTGGAAAGGTCCACACCATGTGATTTCTATGAATGATAGAAATGCAACCTCCTTATTTCCCCTTGCATGAAATTCATATGGGAGGCAAACTGCAAGGAGATTTAACCAGGCCACTTGCAAAGGAAAGCGGCCTGCATTTTTGCTGCCATATTGCTTACGTCATGATGGAATTACAAACTTGGTGGATCGGGGAAATGCTGTGGACATAGTGTATCTTGATTTCAGTAAGGCTTTTGACAAAGTCCTTCATGATATCCTCATGAGGAAGCTGGTAAAATGTGAGTTGAACAAGGTAACTGTTAGGTGGATTTGTAGCTGGTGGATGGACTGAACCCCAAAGTACTCATTAGTGGTTCCTCATCATCCTGGAAAAAAGTGACAAGTGGGGTGCAGCAGGGTTTTCTCCTGGGCCTGTTGTTGTTCAACATCTTTATAAATGACTTGGATGAAGGAATTGAAGGGATGCTCCTCGAATTTGCAGAGGCACCAAACTGGGAGGGGTTGCTAATGCCGCAGAAGACAGAATCAGAATTCAAAATGATCTTAACAGATTGGAGAAATTGACGCAAGCTAACAAAATGAATTGCAGTAGGGACAAATGTAAGGTTCTGAACTTAGGCAGGAAGAACCAGATGCAGAAATTTAGGATGGGGGACACCTGGCTTACTAGCAGTACATGTGAAAAGGATCTAGGGGTCTTAATGGACCACAAGCTGAACATGAGTCAACAGTGTGATGCAGCAGCAAGAAAAGTTAATGCTATTCTAGGCTGCATCAACAGAAGTATAGTGTCCAGATCAAGGGAAGTAATAGTACCACACCTGGAATCCTGTGTCCAATTCTGGGTACCACAATTTAAGAAGGATGTTGACAAGCTGGAACGTATGCAGAGGAAGGCAACCAAGATGATCAAAGGTCTGGAAACTAAGTCTTACAAGGAACGCTTGAAGGAGCTGGCTATGTTTACCTAGAAAAGAGGAGACTGAGAGGAAATATGATAGCCATCTTCAAATATTTTATGGGCTGTCACATGGAAGAGGGAGCTTGATTGTTTTCTCCTGCTCTGGAGGGTAGGACTCGAAGGCAATGGCTTCAAGTTACAAAAAAGAAGATTCTGACTAAACATTCAGGAACAAAACTTGATGACATTAAGAGCTGTTTGGCAGTGGAGCAAACTCCCACGAGAGGTGATGGACTCTACCTCTTTGGAGTTTATTAAGCAGAGGTTGGATGGCCATTTGTCATGGATGCTTTAGCTGAGATTCCTGCATTGCAAGAGGGTTGGACTACCTGACTCTTGGATCCCTTCCAGGTCTAATATTCTATGGTTCTATGTAGGCTGAGCATACCAAATTTCTGCAAGGCCAGCCCTACTGTTACTTCCAGAGAGGTGACCACTCATGCAGCTGGTTTTGTGTGTCATGAGAAGACACCAAGTCATTAAGTTGTTCAATATACTTCTAGATGTATTTTTTTTACCGCCAGAGAGGGAGAGAGGCAATTGTGAAATGCTCTGCCTCAGTCACCAAAACAACTTGACCGGCCTTGGGTAATATGCATTTAGATTTGGGAGGGGTAGGTGCAGGGCCTATCCGGCACCGTGGTGCAAAGATCCCTCCAGCGCCCCCCCCCGGCAACTCCAAAACGAGGGAGGGGGTGGTGGAAAATGTCCTCTGCCTCCCCCACCACCCTGATGCAGCGTGGCTGCAGCGATCAAGCAGGAAAAAGTGCTGGTGGACATGCTCTCCGGTGTCAGGGCGCCCGAGAAGGCAGCCCAGGAAGGCTGTGTGCCGCCTTTTGCCAGGAAGCAGGAGGAGGACAACAACCAGGAGCAGGGCCATCTTTAGCAGATGCAGAGGCTCGGGAGGGAAGCAGCTTCCCTCCTGAGCCTCTGCAGGGATTGCTCCCCTAGTGTGGAGACTTGGGAAGGAAGCTGCAAGCCCGCCAATCTTATAGTTGGCGGGGCGCAGCTGGCGGGCGTGCAGGGAAAGGGGAGGCTGTGGGCCAAGCCGCGCAGTTCCCCCACTCACTAGGGCGCCCCTGAGAGCCTGGCGCCCTGGCGCAACGAACCACTAAGACCAATGGCAAAGACGGCTCTGGGTAGGTGTGCCATTTGCTGCTCCACCTTTAGTAGTCAGGTACTTTGGGACGTGGGTGGTGCTGTGGGTTAAACCACAGAGCCTAGGACTTGCCGATCAGAAGGTTGGCGGTTCGAATCCCCGTGACAGGGTGAGCTCCCATTGCTCAGTCCCTGCTCCTGCCAACCTAGCAGTTCGAAAGCACGTCAAAGTGCAAGTAGATAAATAGGTACCACTCTGGAGGGAAGGTAAACGGCGTTTCTGTGCGCTGCTCTGGTTCGCCAGAAGCGGCTTAGTCATGCTGGCCACATGACCTGGAAGCTGTACGCCGGCTCCCTCGGCCAATAAAGCGAGATGAGCGCCGCAACCCCAGAGTCGGCCACGACTGGACCAAATGGTCAGGGGTCCCTTTAACTTTACCTTACTTTGGGCTGGCTCTGTACATGGCCATGAGGAGAAGCTCCATGACTCTGCTTTCCCAACAGCTGTGTATTTCATCCAAAGGGGCACACTAGTTCCCCTCTCACCATCTGGAGTTCATGACTGTGAGTGTCAGGAAAGTTAATTGCTTTCAAATGAACACTTAAGGTTGGAGGGGAGCAGAACAGGGCAAACAATTTTGGTGCAGACACTTCAACCACAAGCTGACCTGATTACATGCTTCTTCTGCCTTTTGTAGTGAGTTGGCCTGCAGTGGTTTCTTGGCTTCAGTAAAACTTGAAACCAGAAACAATGGGTAGTTTTTATTTACTGGTACCCAGTTACCAAGATCATAAATAACGTCAGTTCAATTGATGTAAGGTTGTGCTACACAGCACTGCCAGACACCCAGCATCTTGAAAAGAAGCTTGGGGAGAGAGCACAAAACTCCAAACGATCCGAAGTCGTTATTTTGGGAAGGCCGTTGTGTTTACACAACAGTTTTTTGCTCCATAGGAATCTATATGTGAGGACTCAGCACTTTCCGTGGAAAGGGGGACAGCGCTCCTGGAGAAAGGGGGAGTCAGAAGCCAAAACATTAAAACCGTGATGGAAAAAATTGCAAGGAAAACTGCCATTCTGTGTTCTCCTAGTGAATTGCACTTGATTTCTTGTGGGCGGATTTGAAAACTAGAGCTTCAGACCTGTATTATTTTTTTACCATTTTTTAATAATTAAAAAACCTGCGTAGGCTAGATGTTAGCATTAGACTGTGTACACACAATGCAGTAAAGCGCATGGCTTCCCCAAATATTCCTGGGAACTGTCGTTACAGATCTACAGTTCCCAGCACCCCAGCAAACTATAGTTCCCAGGATACTCTGGGAGGTGTCATGTGCTCTAAATGTGCTTTAAATGTATGGTGTGTATGCAGAGGAACTCTCTGTACACCCAAGGGGTAAGATGTACAGGGTTACAATGATAAACATTTAGAATTGACATCTACATTTTAGGAGTGGGGAACCTAAAACCTGCTTTGTCAGATGGGGCTTCTGGTAAAAAGGGTGGCAGTGCCACCTATCATGTTTTGTTTGATGAATATTAGGTGCTATACAGTGGTACCTTGGGTTTCAGACACTTCAGGTTACAGACTCCACTAACCCGGAAGTAGTACCTTGGGTTAAGAACTTTGCTTCAGGATGAGAACAGAAATCGTGCAGCGGCAGCGTGGCGGCAGAGGGAGGCCCCATTAGCTAAAGTGGTACCTCAGGTTAAGAACAGTTTCAGGTTAAGAACGGACCTCCGGAACAAATTAAGTTCTTAACCCGAGGTACCACTGTACTGTTCTTTCCATGACTGATTGTGTTATAAATGTATGATATTTAAATGTATGATATAGATGTGATATTTCTCTCTCAATCTCTCTGTGTGCACAGTTTGGTGTTTTAAACTGGTGCTGTTATTTCATGATGTATGTGTATCTTTTTTTAAATATTTACTGTAATTCTGTTAGGGTTTCCCCCCTTAAATTTGGCAAGAAGGCAGCATAGAGAAGTAAGAAAAAGTACAGATTTTACTGCAGGGGCAACTAAGTGTTATGTCAGAGCTCTTTTATTTAAAGATTATTGCAGCCTCATATACTAGGCCCAGACGAGTCTGTGTGTGTGTGTGTGTGTGTGTGTGTGTGTGTGTGTGTTTCCCCCACAAGGCAAACAACTAATCTTATGTTTTAAAAATGTAAGCGTTATAATTATATTACACTGAGGAGTGCCAACTACATCAAGTGCCTTCCAGGTGTTGTTGGACTACAACTCCCATCACCCCTGACCATTGGCCATGCTGGCTGGGGATGCTGGGAGTTGTAGTCCAACAGCATCTGATGGGCATCTGGTTGGGGAAGGCTGGTCTAGGCCGTAAGATAATCCACTTCAACCATGTTCTTTACTTACAGTCTGGGTTGATGAAGTTTATTATGTAAAAGGCGAAAGATTTATACGATCTGAGGTGAAACCAGAGTGGAAAACACAAGATTTACCCACCCGGGAAGAATGGCAGATGAAGTTGATGGACTACATGTAAATGGCGGAAATGACTGGCAGAATCCGAGACCAGGGAGAAGAGTCGGTGGAAGAAGATTGGAAAAAGTTTAAAGACTATTTACAGAAATACTGCAAAATTAATGAATGTTAGAAAAATGTTGGAATGAAGTTATATGGCTTCAGTAGAAATGTTATAAGGAATTAAGTATAAATAGATTAATAGAGAATTAAAGGGAAAAATAAGGTTAAAATGTGTTAAGATAATTATAGGATAGAAAGCAGAGGAAGATGGAAAGGAATTGCTGAAACAATTAATAGAAGTGCAATACAAAAAGGGAGGTATGAGGAGGTCATGGAAATAAGTGAATGAAAGATTGAAATTATTTGATGTGTTTTAAATTGTTTTTGTTTTGTTTTCTTAGTTTAAATTGTTTTTGTTAGTTTAGTGTTAGGTATTGTTTTTGTATTGTATTGTATTATTTTCTTTTTCTATGTATGTTCAAATTGTTGGAAAGTAATAAATATTATTTAAAAAAAAAAAGATGAAGTTTATTATGCAGGCAGTTTTTTTTTTTGATTCACCAGCAGCACATCTCTATTCAACATGTTTGTCGAGAAGGGATTCTAGTGTTTGTTAAGGAATGGTAAGAAACCGCAAAGTGCCAGTTACACCACTTTAGGAACGTAAAATGTTGGAAGAACCTTGCAAGAACAGGTCAAAGAAACAGCATCTTCTTTCTTAGTGACCAGTCAGATGTCCATGTGAAGCCCATAGTGGAAGAGATGGCTCAACTGATCCCAAATTCAGTGGTATGAATTCCCGCCCACTCCATTGCTATTTTATTAGAAAATTCAGTAGAGATGTGCCTTTAGTATGTATTTCATTTCATGGCTAGGATTTTTCTTAAGTTCAAGGCAACGCAGATCCCTATTCTCTGGCATGCTGTTCTTCTGAGGCTGTGCCACGTTCAAATACTGTAGAAGACAAATAACATTATAAAGGCAGGATTTTTTTGATTTTTTTTTTGTATAATGGTAAAAAAAAAAACTTTATACAAAGCCGTTACCATAGAAACTTAAAAGAACTCAAAAGTCCTTTAAGGACACACTGAATAGCATATAATGATTATACATAACTGCTGTAGAGTTTTTGTGTTCTCTAAACATATTGAGATTTCTTATTAGCATTGTTCTGGATAAAGCCTGCAGAATTTTGCCCCCCTCCCAACACGCCCCTCCCCACTAATCTATCTTTCATCTATCCTCCTACACTTTTGTTTTGGAATCTTGATTGCTTCATTTTAAACTCCCGCAGCTCTCTGAGAAACCCACAAACCACGGGCCTGATCCAGCGAAGGTTGAGCGTTTGTAGGTCTCGTTCATTTCAAGGGCAGATCACTCAAAAGGGTGGAGGCAACTCTTCCGTGGTTGCAACGTCTGGGACTTTTTAGCCTAGAGAAAAGACAAGGATGCGGGGCATGATGGAACTGTATAAAATTATATATGGTGAACAGAGGTAATGCTTTCCTCCCTCTCTCATACCTAGAATTTGGGGGCACTGAATGAAGCTGAACATTGGAAAAATCAGGAAAAGGCAAGTTCTTCATATGGTGCATAGTTAGAACTATGGAACTTGCTTCTCTGAGAGGCTTTAAGAACAATTTAGACAAATTGAGGGGGGTAATGTTATTCATTGTTACTAGCTACAAGGACTATGTCCTACACCCATCATCAGAGATGATATGCATCACTCTCACGCCCTATTGATTACTGTGGAATAACCCAGCACATTATTAAATCTCTCCCATTGAAAACAGTGGGATTTACAGTACTTGACAGTGGTAGGAATGTGGAGTGTGACTTCTTTCCCCTGAAATATGGATGGAACAGTTTCCCCTTTCTTACCAGAAAGCAAAACAAAACAACGTATGGAAATATATTCCAGCCTGTGCCAAAAAGAATGTTGTTATCTCTTTATTAATGAAAACAGTAATTGCTCGTGAAAGGCAACTGGGATTTATATGTCATATATTTTGTTGGCATGGCTTCTTACTGGACTACAGAAGAAAGTGAAGCCAGGACTATTATAGAATCCAAGAGCATGACCAAACAACTGACATACAGTTTTTCACTTGGTGTCCAGCCAGGGACTTGAGATGCTGTTCCAATGGTAAGCACATTGCATAGGGTCAATGTGCCAAACCACAGAAAATGGCTGAGAATGCATAAGAAGAATTGTAGAAAATTATCTCGAGTGATCCTAGCAGCATAACATATACTGTATATCCTGCACATGCTATTTATTATATTGATATTAGCATGGATGCAACCCTCCCTTTTTCCACAGTACGTTCTGTGAGAACATGAAATTGGCTGCTTGCGATACTGAAATGTGTGTGTACTGTACAATGTTTTGGTAGACATCTCCATTTTTACTGGGCCGAACTCGACATTAATTGTAAGACGGCTTTTAAAAAAAATCAAATCAATGAAGCGCAAGTAAGGCATAGCTGTCAACTTACAAATTTGAAAATAAGGGATCAGCAGCCTCGAAAATAAGGGATCAGCAGCCAAAATAAGGGATTTTCCGGGCACAGGTATGTTCAACTTCTGAGCCCCTCCGAGCCAAAGGCAGAAAGCCCAGCCAGCAGCCAAACGAAACCTCAAGCGGTGGTTCCCACAGCGCAGCAACCCGGCAAAGGGGATGCAGCAAGGAAAACCACCGTCACCTCTCCACTGGGAAGTGCTGAGCAAAGGCGAGTCCCCAGGCAACGCGGCCGATTTGATCGGCACAAGGCATGCAAGCTCCACCCCCCAGTCGTTCTTAGACTCCTTATTGGGAGAGCAACGCAGCCAAGCAACACAGTTGGAGCCTCCCTCCTCCCTGGCCAGCAGGGAGGGAGGGAGAGGAGCTGCTTCCTTTGAAACCCAGGAAATTTAAGGGACATCATCAACAAGGGACAGCAGCGGGACATGGCGCAGGGATAAGGGACTTTCCCGCCAAATAAGGGATGGTTGACAGCTTTGAAGTAAGGAAATGCCTCAAATCCTAAAATCAATTTTATAGAATATAATCAAGAGTAGGATAAAAACAATTCAGCATAAACACTGGGAGATTATTATTTTTCACTCACACTAAAAAACAACTTGGCAAAATAGAAAGGTCTTAGGAGCTCACCTGAAGCTAACCAGAGAGGGAGCCAATGAGACTTTTTTAAGGGAAGGAATTCCTCAACCTGGGCAGAAAAGGCCTTGTCTTTCATTACAACTCCTTCTGAATGTGGGAAGTGGTGGCTCCTGGGAATATATTGGAATTCTCTTTTTTGGTGGTTCATAATTAGGCCTCAGAATTGCATCCCTCTGGGACTTCCTCCTGTGTGGGGCATAATCCAGTCTTGCACTGGTTTGTTTGTTTTTAAAGAGCTTGAATTCTGGCTGCAGGCATCAGAACCCTTGTCGTTTGAAAATCACCCCCTTTGGCTAAGATTCATGTTGCAGAACATATTATTAGTGTCAGGCTCCCATCCCCAAACATGAGAGCAACTCTGACCTGAAAAATAAGGAAGATATCTTTATTCAGGCTAATATTGGTACAGGTTCAGCAGCTGCCAGAAGGTCCTTAAGTCAAAATTCTGAGGTGTCTGAGGTCCATATGAAGTTGTCCTGAGAGTTAACATGGCCCTCCAACCAAGCTATTAAAGATGAGACGGGGTGAGCCCACTCACAGGACTGTCTTGCCCTATGTGGCTGGGGAGATATGTCTGATTCCACCTAGCCAGTGTGGTGTAGTGGTTAAGAGCAGTAGACGCGTAATCTGGTGAACCAGGTTCGCATCTCTGCTCCTCCACATGGAGCTGCTGGGTGACCTTGGGCTAGTCACACTTCTCTGAAGTGTCTCAGCCCCACTCACCTCACAGAGTGTTTGTTGTGGGGGAGGAAGGGAAAGGAGAATGTTAGTCACTTTGAGACTCCTTTGGGTAGTGATAAAGTGGGATATCAAATCCAAACTCCTCTTCTTCCTATGAAGGCAGCACCTGGGTCTCAGTGACCATGCTGTGTCTTGCCCCTCTGCCTCTAGCTCCCTCACCACCTCCTCTTGCTCATTTCTCCCCTCTGGCTCCCTCAAAGGTCTTCCGTCTCCCTGATGAGGCTCTGAACTCTGCCAGAAGGGTGGAGGAGAGAGTCAGCAGATCTTCTCCATCTCTGACAACTAGAGTCACAAGGGGAAGACCTCTCTTCTCCAACCCTGGCTACTCACCTTCCAGACCCACACCTGCTCCTTCTCTTCCTCCACCTCCTCCTCCTGGTCTGTTTGGGGCTGACAAATCATTCCAGATTCATATGCTCCAATGTTTCTCTGATGAAAATAGGGACATCCCAACATTTCTCCAGTGAAAATAGGGATGGCCTATGATATCTGAGCTGTGGGGCCCACAACAACTAGGAGGTCAGGAGTTGCTGGTTCAGAAGTGCTGTTTTGAAGTGGGAAATTGGACAAGACTGCCTTCTGCTCCCTTCCCATATTGGTGGTGAGATACAAGCTGTGGTGACTGATGATTGAGTAATCCAGGCCTAGAGCCACTTCTTTGGGCCATGGATGTCCTTCAGATGGTGGGTAAATGGAAGAGACAGCATTTATTCAGCTACTTTATTTGTATCCCACCACAAAGACTTAAAAAGGCCCTCCGGGCAGCTTACAGCTAAAACAATACACATAAAAACAGATGGAATAAAAATCATTAAAAGCTCATCAGCTAATAAAGTACAACCATTAAAATTATAAAGCAATAAAACTCTATAGCATAGAAAAATAAAATACTAGCCCAGTTTAAATCTGTC